TGGACAGTATTATAATTGTAGCCCTGGGTGATGATGTACAAGCCCACTGATTTTCCTTTTGCATTTAATCCAATTCAGGGAAGTCTACTTGACTTTGATGTGTCCTCTGTAAAGTACGGAAATAATCACTTGCCAGAACTTTCCTCTTCTGCTCTGTCTTTTTCCTCCAAAGAAGTAGGAGAATTTTCCAAGCAAGCCGAGAGGTGAGAACAAACTGATAGATCACGTTCCTGAATTAAGCAGGTTAGGACAAGAACAAGCAAAAAACAATGGGATAAATCCCCAGTGATTCAGTCTATCCCGTTGTTCAGATTAGACTGATTGAGCAAAACGACATTTCCACTGCATCCCCAGCTCACCAGAAAATTGCACATTTGTCTGAACGTAGAGATTGACAGCTCAGATGATCTGAGAGTGATCGCTTTTTTTTTTTTTAATTCCCGTTATCTGTTTTAAACCAACAAAATTGTGACAGTAAACATACAGCTATTCCTATGTTTAAGGTTAATTTATTTCCAACAGAAAAAGTACTATACTGGGGCAGGTAGGGCTGACAACACTGTTGTGACAAATGGATCAGCAAAAAAAATCTCTCTCCAAAGATAGCTACATGTTTTGATTTAATGAGATGCTAAACATGTGCGTCAGCTGCATTAAGAATGGACTGCATTGCATGGGGGATAGCTCTGTGAATCTTCCCAGATTGAATCCTTCTTTGCCTTTTGTTTTGAGAATTTCCTCCCTTCTTGTCTCTGAACTCCTAAAGTGGTCTTTTCTAATTTTCACTTAAAGTGACTTTGTATTAATTTATTTAAAGGAATCCTCTGTACTTTAACAGGAGCCTGTTTTAATCTGTAATGCCAATAATGCTGCTTCTTCTCAAAGCTTCATCTCAGTCTGGGAGCTTCCTTCAGCATGAAGACTCAGGAACTTTTGTTCATTAAGGAACTGACTACACTTTCCCCAAGGTAAGGCTGGAGCTTGACTGGTTAAACAATCAGAGATCCCATTTGGATGGCTTTTTTTCTGACACTTCCTTTTGTCCTCCAATTTTTTGTCATAAGCAGTGGGGACTGAAGGACGATTTAATTTAAATCCAATCAAATTATGGCAAAGCTTGAAACATGTTTACAGTCCCCTCTGCTTAGCAGAAGAGATATATATCCAAGCCAAAATATTTCCAAGAGAAGCCAGAAATTCAGGGCTGTGTTCAGACTTCCTCTAAGAGATGTTTCCAGTTTAAATTTCAGCTTGCTATAACACCTTGAGTTGAGGGAGATTGAAGTCAAGAGTTTCTTAAAATGTTGCTCCTTTTATCACATCTTGTGATATCCTCAAAATAGCCACAACAAGAATATCTGCTTTTTGTAGTATCTGCTGCATGTAATTCTTGCATGAAACTCATAGGAGGAATGTAACTTTCTTTGTAAATACGGACTTCCTATTTCAAAAGCATACGAAAGCCTCTCAGTAATGTTAGGTTTTTATTATTTCCCTGCGTCCTCAGCTCTATACCTTAAATCTTTTTCAGATCTGCAAAACCCACATCTAAGTACTTTTGATGTCAGAGGCACCTGATCTGGCTTGCAGCGCTACAACACCTCATGCTGGTAGCGGCTGCAGACTGTGGAGCTGCACTCCAGCTTCTCTTGGGCTGGGTACCTTGTGTAATTACTCCCCATCAGGAAAAGTACACTGGGAACAGAGTCAGCAAGGTGGGATCCACCAGCGATCTCAGCAAGTTCCCCATCAGCATAATCAAAACTTCGACATCTGAACAAGATGTCAGAAGGAGTCATCATCACCAAGTCTTCTGCCTGAACTCAGTCAGCTCTACTGTGCTGGAGATATTTGCTAGCATCTGTCAGTTAATTAAAGCTGAGTTTTCCGAAGGTGGAATAATTGTTCTTAAGACAAATTATTATGATATATCATCACCTGCTGTTTTGATGATTCTGTAATCTTCATTTTTATTGTGTGATAAATACTCAATCATACCCTTTACTACTGCTTCAGATAGTTTTAATGACTGAGCTTTACATAATATTTTGCTTAAATATATGCCAGTGCCTTCCTATGGCTGTGAGTTTCTAAGGCATGTACAATGGTCACTAGGCCTCAGTAGATGACAGAACAGCTTCTGCTGTTCTCACACGCAAAAGAGAGCCCTTCCCAAGTGCCTGCTTCCCATCAGCAGGACTCGGCATCTGCCATGGGACAGGAGCTGAGATTGACTTCAGTGATAACAGTTTGCCTAGATTTGGGGTGGGAGGCTGTAATGTTCAGGTCTGTGATGCACTGTGGGCACAAGCAAAAAAAAGCTGGGGATATGACAGCATGGAAGAAGGAGAGCTGGACATCTGAGCTCTTGCCTGTGAGCTTGAAGGTCAGAAGCACTTACTCCTCCACCTCTGGTGTCCCAGGTCCAGGTGATACTGCAGAACACCATGCTGGCTCTGGAGAACCTCCAATACCTGCACCAGGGTTGGACTGTCCATGGTGGGACATCTGTGGACAATGTGTTCTGCATGAAATGGGCACTGAGCACTTGATATTAAAGATATGCTTGGATCTTTCAGAGTGCTGTGTGAGTCCTCCTATGGGCTGCTAAGTATGGAGGAGAGGCTAATTCTGGTTATAAAACTGCTTGCTTTCATGTTGAGGGGAAAAGTTATAAAAAAACCTATTAGTCAACACATAAATTGATGGTTTGATGGTAATTCTCAGCAGCACGGTACCATGAATATCAATTTTATTCAAAAGAACAGATAATGAAAATTTCATTTTGTAGTGACTCACGTGTAATATACTGCATTTCCTTTAATAGGAAGTGATGTGCATACAGAATCCATAGTTGCTATGATTAGTTGTTGCTGATCTTTAAAGATAAGAAGCAGTGTGAGGAAAGAAATTGAAAACTCTGTCAATTTATCAACAAGAAAGTTACTCAGATACCCAAAGTAGTGAGGCACTGAATAAAAATGACTGTAATGAATCACTTCCTTGAAGTATAATTTAGCTTGTGTTCAGAACTGAGCAAGTAAAGCTTTGAGGTCCTAAGAAGTATGCATTTAATGGAAAAAAAGTGAAATTTCTTTAAGCTCTTAAAAATGAATTTGGTTGCTGTTGCATAACTGCTGCCACATACATTCCTGTGCATAACATTGGAGTTCAGAGCCTTCTACACCCTATATGCACAAAATCATATGAACCCTATAAGTAGCATATAATCTGCTTGGCATATGAAGCCAGTGCAGAGTGGTGGCCATAGAGATGCATTTAAAATTTTCAGGATTAGATATTCAGCAGGAAGGTGGTTATATGATCAAGCATCTCATGTGTTCCGCAAATCTACTTTGTTTGCTGTTCTACCTCCTTCTTATTACAAATCTTCATGGGATCAGCTCTCTGCTGAGCACAGTACACAGGCTCATGGAACCAATGCTAGAAGACATTTAAAAAGTCATTAAAAAAAAAAAAAAGTGCCATTCAGAAAGATGGCACTTGTCTTTTTCTGAGCACTTATTTTCACTGTCAGTCATAAAAGATAAAATCAACATTAGTTTAGCAGAACAATTCTAGCTCACAAGAGCTATTATATATTATTACAGGGCGTTGCACATTACTGCAGAAGGATTTCTAAGTTTTTTCACTGTTTCGTTGGCAAAAAAACTGAGGTCACCTCACAAGGCAGGAAATCATTGAAAAGTCTCATGATCTTCAGTCTTCTTAAATTATAAACATTCTGTGGTGCTTTTACCCCCAAAAGAAGTAATTCTAAATAATTTTTTAAAATTTACCTACCCTTCACATGTTAAGAATCACCTTTGTTCCTGAAGAGTTTTCTTTCTGTTATAGACCAAAAAATACTAGAATAAGTCTGTATCAAGCTGTTATCTGCTGCTGGCAGGTCCCATGAAAATGTTTCCCTTCTATTGCCAGAAGCCTTGCAACAAAAGTTGTTTTGGCTGACTGATCCTTACAAAGGCAAGGCAGCACTGCTGTAAGGGCAGGTGCTCTAGTTGCCTTACCACTATCTCCAGGACATTTCCATCTTCTCTTCTGGGTAATTTTAACAGCAAAGGATTACCACAGTTCTTTACACCTCTGCAATTGTTATTGATTTATTTCATTGAAGTGAAAGATGTGTTGTGTGGTCTTTAAATACAAGACTTTTAATCATTAAATCTTATTTAAGATGGGAAATTTAGCCACTGTCTGGGCAATTCTTTCTGAGTAGCCACCATGGATTTCATGTTGCTACAGAAATGTGAGAGTTGAATCATTTCCTTTATGTTGCTGTTTTTTATGGTTGAGATTCCAGTAGTAATTATTGATTTTTTCCCTTTCCCCATCAACAACAAATAATAACAATAACAACATAAATAACAAAAGTTAGGTTTCTCTGCAGGTCCTGTGGTGCTGAAGAATTTTTCAGTCATTGTCAACCCGTCAGCTCAAGTTCAGTAGTTTTCCATGCAAACCTGTGAAGGCACTCCTATATAGTGCATTATTAAGCTACCACTTCTAGGGGGACACCAGTAGTGATGTCAGATTGAAAACATGGTGAAAGTGTTTCAGTCTTGGACATCAGAGTCTGCTCTAAACTATTAAATCACATCTCCCAACAATTTTGTGTGTTTTGATGTTAATTGCAAGTTTTGATTATTTTGCCTACAATGTAAAATGTCAGAATACCTAATTCGTGGAGATAGAAATACTTCTCAAAGCCAATATTTGCATACAACGCCCCTTCAAAGACTTCTGTTCAATTTGTATTGTTAGGAGCTTGATTTTTTTTATTTCATTTTTATTTCATTTTTATTTTATTTTATTTTATTTTATTTTATTTTATTTTATTTTATTTTATTTTATTTTATTATTAGGAGGTATTCCAGCTCCTGTAAGCCGTCAGACTATAACCTTGTTAACCAATGTTTTCTTTTTTATCTTTTCAACATATATTCATGTTACTCATACGTATCTGTAAGATACTACTCTGTAAGTTATTATTCTGTTAACTTCTGTGTCTCAAAGCTTGCTGGGGACACAGATGGACTTGTTCAAGTCCAGACAAGTCCCGAGCAAGGATTGTGAAATCCTTTGTCTGGGGGAATGCAGATGGACAAGGCCAGGGGCAACGAGAGCGAGATGAGCTGCAGCTAAATAGCTGTGAAGTGCTCCTTTGTGTGGACCTATCTCCGGATGATGGCCATCTCAGGGGGTACTCAATGACTCTTGCTCAAGGCCCATCCTTGTCACGTAGGCAGGAGAACAAGGAGGATAAAAGAGGAACTGAAAACCACGAGGATAGGTTTCTGACAACAGATTCCTCAAGAAGAACGGAGGTTTCTGACAACAGATTCCTCATGAAGAACGGGAGGTTTCTGACAACAGATTCCTCATGAAGAACGGCAAGGTTTCTGACAACAGATTCCTCATGAAGAGGGAGAGAGAGAGAGGGATTCCTGAAGATTGAGGGGATTCCTGCATACTGTTGAACTCTCCTGAGCCTGCTGCCTGACCGCTGCTGCTGCTTCAAGAATTGGCTCCTCGACTTCCTCGTCTACCTGCCTGCTGCCCAAGGCCGGCCACGCTGCTGCTCCCCGTCTTCTGCTGCGTTCTGCCCGGGACCTTCAAACACCGTGCAACGGGACGGCTGCTGGATCCTGCTGGTGACTCTCCCCGCTTTACGCAACTCCTGCTTCTTTTCCATCTTTTCTATCGCACTCCTTCCCTTCCCCGTCTCCCTTCCCGTCTTAGTAATAAATTGGATGGAACAACATATGAACCGTTGTTTCTTAATCTCACACCGGGTATACAGATATTAAAGAACCTCATCTCCCTCCTATAAATTGGAGCGAGACAGTATCTTACACTGCCTTTTCTTTTTTTTTTTTTTTTTTTTTTTTCCATTGAAGAGAATCCATGCATTCTCACTTCTCTAGAACTAAGCCTGGGAGGGTTTGTGACAGTTGACATCTGTAAGTTGATTTCTGAAGACTGAAGTTCTGCAGTTGCTGAAGTGACAGAGGCTTCCATAAATACAAGGGCCTGGGTTGAAGTGAGTATTGATTTTGTACATGAAATAGAGCTTAGAACACAGACCAAAGGTCTACTAGCTGGGTGGGGTCTATCTTTCATTCAAGACATACAACATAGTGGAGTGATATGATAGATGGTGTTCAGACTTATATGGATTGAAAAGAACAGGTAACGTTACTGCTTGTTCCAGCACCACCACATACTTGAATAGTACATACAAAGTAAAAGCAATAGATTATGTTGTCAACCACAGAGTTTTGGTTTTCATTCTCCTCTATCTATAATGCTAAGTTTTCTTAGTAATAGAAACAACTGCTCTACACCTTGGAAAGAAAAATCTTCAATCTCTAAGCATTAAGTGTCTTTACTATCAAGATTTTCTGTTTTGGAGGTAATTAAGTTGTGTTAGTATTGGGGAAAAAAATCAAACAAGACTGAAAGATGGAAAATTCCACAATTCAGCAAAATTAAGCAAGAGGTTGTGAGTTTATTCCATCAGTGATCTAGTCCTGAACTGATTGACCTGAAGTCTGTCATTGTGTTTTCATCTCCTCCTTACTGAGTATTCTTCAGAAATCAAGGAGCAATACTTTAAAGCCCTTGCTCTCCTTCCTCTCAGTTAGCATCACAATTGGGGCCCAGGAGACCTGTGGAGGGTCAGATGGGGATGGAGCAGTGACATGGTGGCCCAGAGCCCTTGTCCCAGGGCACAAGCGAGGGTCTCCTTTCCTTGGAGTAGCCAGCAGCAGTATGGCTTCAGCGCTGCAGGTCCTAGGCTCTCCCTGAGGAGTGCTTTTCTCTCTAAGCTGCTGGAAATTTCAAAAGGTTTTGTCTGATTTCGGGATAAAAACCTAAAATAGCCACATAATCTCTTCCATTTGCACAGTCGTGCAGTGTTGACACACTCACCTAAGTCTGACCATGCTGCCATCCATCTGTTAGTAAGATGGCTAATAACCTCTTTTATTAAGTTAGCTAATATCCAGAGCTGAGTTCACAAAACTCTACCAAGGCAAAGCCTAAGGCATCCTGAGGTTTTTGCCCACTTCTGCTGGAGCAAAGGAAATAACTACACAGCTGCTGAATACTCAAGACACTTGATTTTTGGTGACCAAATGTAAGATAAAGAGCCACAGATCAGCTCTGAAGGTTTCAGGCATGCAACTGGATCAATCAGTGTTTGTAATTGAACATCAAGGAAGGAACCATTGACCCCAGTGTTTGCAAGGTAGCACCTCCAAAAAGCATGCAAATCCATCTTAATGCTTCCAAGCTCAAAGCCCTGGTCCTCTGCTGTGCTTCCTAGAGCTCACCAGGCTTACACTCCTCTTAGAGATCAGCAAAGGTCTGGAAAAATAACTTGCCTCCATGGATCTACTGGACACTTGACTGAAAACATCATAAAAGAGAACAGCTGGCACCTACTGCACCTGAATGGGTATGGAAATCAGCAAACCAAAGCTCTGCCCATAATGTCACTTTAATACTGCACAGTTTTACAGCTGGGTATGCTCACAGTCATCATTTCCAGAAAACTGTATAAGACCTAAGAAGTTTAACCAGAATGTTAAGAGAGCTTTTCAGAAAAATACAACCCGATAATGTTTTGCCAACTCTTTGAATTTATTTATTCATGTTTGGATTCACGTAAGGAAATACCCATGCCATAAATTTTTATTAAAAACAAGTCATTAAATAGTACATTTATATTCATAAACAAACAAGTCATTTTTACACACATTAATGTTGGATTTCCTGCTACAGAACTGGAAATGTATTCAACCACCTTATATTTTTGTTCATTCTTGATATAAAAGGATAAAGCTTCTGCAGTAAGTTTACACATACTGTTGTTTTTTTTATGTGCTCTGACTGGATACACGTAGGATTTTTGTGTATATTCCCCTAATAATACATGTACTGGAAACTTAGCCTTTTGTTCTTGTTATTGATTTGGGGTGTAGTACATGATTTTAAATACTGCAGAAAATAATTGTAGTAATGAAGAAAAATATGCTTTTTCCTCCTTGCTCATATGAACGATTGATTTGTATGAGGAAGAAAATAAAATGAAATCCTTGCACAGTAGAAAGGCTTGAAACCAACAGCTGGTTGAAGGAAAAATTACATTTTTTTTATTTGCCAGAACATTATTATGATTAGCAACATGAAAATGTGTTGTCTGGTTTTTCAGATACCAGGGAAGCAGAATTCTTCAATGCTATTCTCCTTCCTGTTCTCTATTTCCTGCAGATCAAGTTGATAATACTCAAATGTCACACGATTGATGTGTTTGCCACTGGAGACCATCCTTAGCACAGTATTGTCACAACCAACCTTCATTTGGGCTAAGTAGGGAAAAAACAGAGAGAAGACATTAAGATAAAATTATATGAGAGAGAGAGAAAAATGGTCTGTTGCACTGAGAATTATAAGCTAATAATAGAAACAAAGAAACAAATAATATTTTAGCATAGCAACGATTGGCTAGCATTGGTATTGCTGACTAAATACCTTATTTTACATTTGTTAGTCTTCCTTTGTAATAGTCTTGCTATTTCATCAGGTGCTGCAGCCTTCACTCTGGCAGATGCTGCTCACCCTCCCACCCACCTGCAGTCATGCATTTATAGGACACAGAGGTGGTGTGTGCTTGCACTTGCTGCAGTTGGATACTAGAAGTCGAAGGTAAGGGGTAAAGACATCCTGCTCTGGAGATTTCCAAAACTAACTACATCACAATGCTGGAAGCACCCAGACTGTTGAAGTGTGATTTCCCTTCCTTTACACTGCCAGGAAAGCAGTTCAAATGCCATAGCTGAATTGTAACAACTCTGCCTGCATTTATTACGAATTTCCAGGCTTTTCTGTTGACATCAATAATCATATTTGTCATAAGTATTTTAAAAATATGTGTAGCTTAATCTTATTATCATAATTCCTGCAGGGGCAAATAGAGCTGTTTATGGGTGTGCTGCATTATGCCCCTGGATGCTGGCTCTCATGTTTTTGCTACATGTCAGGTTCACCTGTCTGAAGGAAACCTGTCTTAGGAGAGCTGTGCATGGCCCCTCCAGTTACATGTTCATTTGTAGAGGGGGATGAGGAAGGAGGAGCTCTCACCAGACCCATGAAAGGAATGACAGAGGTCAGCCAGTGGAAACATCTTGGATGGGTCTAAGCCAGTACCTCCTAACAGCTCCACAAAGTCCCCCACTCCTGCACAGCCCACTGACGGATTCTAAGAAGACAGAAAATAAAAATTACTTGCCATGTTTTGATGAAAACAACAATTCTGTAGACAGGACCGCAGTCAACACCAGGATTCAGAAGTACTTTATGCTCAAGCCTGTTAAAAATTAGGCTGTTCAAGCAATAGGATTTCAATTTGACGTTTATAAATTAATTTCTTGAAAAAACTCCAAATAAAGACCTAAGCAGGCTTTGAAAAATCACTGGCATGTAGTTAAGATGTTGATCCAATTGCTCCCAGCACAGGTAAGCAATCTAATCCTGGGTGCTCAAACCTTAACCAAATGAACAGAGTCAGCGCTGCACATGTGCCCACACCCAGCTGGCATGCAGTGAATTATCTCTTCTCTATCTTAAGTGTCCTTGTGAAAGCAGCATGTAAGGCAAAGAGATGACAAAGGGCAGCTGAAGCCAACAAGTTGTGGCTGGTTTTGTTCGCAGGCACCACGCTGCAAACCAAATTCCCACTGTCTGGTCAGCAGCCTGTCTCCAGCACTGCAAGCTGGTCAATGCACAGAACTGCTGAGCCTTGTTCCTGACCTCTTCCTATCTACTCTGCCATTTCATTGATCACTCCTTAACACTTCTTATTCTCCTTCACTGTACAAGTGAGATTTAAACATCCTTAAAAGCTCCTTGCTTCTGTCCAGTGCTGTTCCAGAGCTCTCCAGCCTCCACGAGGGTTGTAATTTTTTCTTCCTGAGTCTTAGGCCTTGCTATCAGACTTTTGAGATGCTCCTAACTTCTCTTCCTCTATCAGCTTAGGTGCAAGTTACTCTTTCTACCCAAGTTCTGAAGCCTGGATACTGTTAATAAATTGTTTCTTCATTTTTTGTTTTCTTTTTCTGCAGCATTAGCAGATCAGCGCTTGCTGCCAATCAGCATGTATGGCTAACATTTATCATGTATTCCTTACCTTAATAAAAATAGATACTCTTAGCACTGTCATTCATGCCGTCCTTCATGCTGGGGTAGCACACACACATGCTGAGGTACAAAACCAAATAGCTGTGTCTTCATTTTACTCTAAACTCTTTAAAACTTTTTTTTGAGGCAAACCCCTCAAAATCAAAAATGAATGAGCTCATATTTTCCACTGACAGAGACACTGCCACTGGTTCTTGTCTGCCCGTTCACCAACCTGCTTCCTCTATGCGTACCTTTTCATGCCCTGTCTCCTGCTAGCACCTTGCCACGATGCCACGATGGTCATGGGCCCTGACTGCTGCTTAGATGTTGGCAAGCCTCAGGGAGGACTGAGGCTACAGTCTCACTGGCAGCAGAAGACAAACATCCTTGCTGCTTCTCTGACATGTTGCTACCAGCACGTTTTTAGACCTTCCAAGCACAGGATGACACCAGCATCTCTTGTCCTCTCTTTCTGGTCATCACAGAGCACCAAATGATGTGTGCCAGATGCTCAGCACAATGAGCAGAGGATCAGCCAAATGTAGCTGGATTTCCACTGTGATAATATTCTGCTGCATAATCCATGTCTCCTCTCTGTTCAAAGTGCTTGCTATGAGAACTGTTCCAAAAGTAATGTCTCCTACCTTACGATGCTGTCCCACAATGACAGAGGCAGCTGTTGGTGGAACAGCAGTCGAGGCTGAACCTTCCCACCAATATTCCATTATGTTTTGTTGCTGTACGACAGGTGGCAACAGAAAGGCAGTTTGACACAATGGTGTCTCCCATGGAAATGAACATGAAGTAAAGGTGGGGCACTGAGTTCCTCCACGCAGAAAAATACCACCCACTGACATTCACTGATGCTTGCTGAATGTTTATGGAGCCTGAACAGCAAGGCAGTGTGTTGCAGCAGTGGCAACAGTGACATGAAAGTTAAACACATACAAATGTCCATACACACTGTCACATCATGAAATTAAGAGAATCTCAACTCATCCCCATGAACTGGCCAACACTGGTGACTATGTTGGGTATTCTGTAGCTGAGAATTTTCTCTACTGAATTGAGCTACGTTTTGTGGATTGTGTTTTGTATCTGTTGTAGTTTCCATAGAAATATATGGAAGACATAACTTTTGGAGCAACTTACGTACTTCTTAGATAAGTTTAAATGCTGGCAGACAACTCTGGCAGAGCACTCCTTTATTTCTAATGTAATTCTTACCCTTTTTAAAGTACAAAATATTTACATGTCTTAATGGCACTTTGCACTGTTGTTTTGTCTCTGCAACATTACAGAGGCAACAGACAGACCCAGCTTTGGTCTCTGGGGGCCCAGCTGTCAGGCTGAGCACACACTGCTCTGGAGCACACACACTGTCAACAGCCAGCGCTGTGGCCACCCCTATTTCAGCCCACCAAGAAAACTGCACGTAGCAGTTATTCGCCAGCTAACAAACAACTCACCTTTAAAAAGAGGCCGTTTAAGTGTCCCAGGATGAGATCGGAGATTTTTATCACCACTGGGTAAATTATAGAAAAACTGCAGTTTCTGTGTTGATGAGGAATGACCATGGTAAACCTTCCTGAGGGAGTCTGAGAGATGACATTGCAAGCTGGAGCACAGGAAAAGGTACAAGAGTTAGTTGTATTGTCATTACTGACCACATGTAGTAAAATCATGTACTTCTAGAAATTACAAAGAACACAGTTTAACAGCTGAGAGTTGAAGACAGATGCTGAAAAATACACGTGGTATTTTTAGGTTTTCTTGAAGAGCGTTTGTTCCTTAGAAATTCTCCATCCACCGGTTACGGCATAGTATCAGGTCTGGCAGAGTTTTGGGATGACCTGTCCTTGGGAGAGCACGCGCCCCAGATGCACACATCAGCTACTTTTTGCCACTTTGAAGAACGGTAAACATGTATGCAAGGCTTTCATTTGTTTTCACTTGCTATCACCTGATACTGCCAGCAAACCACAGGTCCTATCTTGCTCCTCATTGCGGGGTTTCCTTACCCTGTGACATATCCCATTGAAACACCCTGTCCCTGGAGATACACGGTCAGGCTGGATGGGTCTCTGAGCAACTTGATCTACCTGTAGTTGTCCCTGTTCACTGCAGGACAGTTGGATTAGACGGCCTTTGAGGGTTCCTTCCAACCCAAACTCTTCTGTGGAACCAGAACAGCACAGACCGATTTTGTCTTAAAGTTTAACAGCTCACACTTGTTGTTTGCATCACTACCACTTTTGGAAAAATGATGCAAGTGACCATTATTTGTGCCCTGGCAGCTTGTAGACTTAGGGAAATAACTTACAACTAGACTCTTGGAGTCACACAACACTTCTCACATCACCATTTTGTATACTAAATGTACTGTTGAATTTTTTCAAATACTTTTTCCTTGTTGTTCACTCATATTCAGAAGTTGCTAAGATTAAAATCTCTGGTTTAATACTACTTGCTCAAACCAAACATCATAAGATGTAACAGTGTTCAATATGAGACATCTGCTTTGAAAGATCCTTCTTATTCTAAAACAGAAGCAATGCTCAAGTGCTCTTCCGTACTTTGTTATTTTTCTCTCTCCTGCACAGATGTACACTGAAACAGTCAGACACTCAGGAAAAACTCACCAGAACTGTGTCAGTGCAGACATTATCAGAGAAGTCAGTACCAACAGACACTATTGTTCTGCTTCCTACCAAAACTGCAAGCCACTTGGTAACACGAAATCAGACTTACGGAAGAGGTTGGCACTCTTCTTGACTGTGATCGTAAATCCATTGCCTGGGTGGTGAATCCTGAAGAAGATCATTGCCACATTCTGTGATGACCTGATACTCCTCTGGACAGCACCACTCTCACAGAAGTCTGTGTACCTTTGGGAAGTGGGGAGGGGATGGTCCAAGGAACTAGGAAACTTCTCTCCTTTGAGTATCCAGCCATCAAAAACCTGCAGGGGTTCAACAATTGTAACCAGGACTTTTGTGTATCATCCTGCCAGCAGAGAAGAGAAGTGTAAAGTATTATGGGTACTGCTTTGACACTTGATGGCCAATTCAGAGCCTCCAAATAAAACCAAAAATTCTGTTTATATACTCCCTAGCATTTAATCCAAGCTTCAGTCAATACTTAGGAATAGAACAGGTATCCTAATTTTGTTTTTATTTCCTTCAAATGACTGTTTTGGTGACGCATCTTTGATGGAAACAGTTCTTTTTGCTTTAACACCATCAAATTGATATCAGATTCTGGATTCATTAGTATAGCAATTCCATTGCTACTAAAACTGGCTTCTGGCCAACCTGATGTGAAAGCCACATCAAAGAAAGTTGTCTTCTTGTGCCTTGACCGCTAGGTCCACTGACCTGGCCTGTAGTTTTCCACTATCTGTATCTTCAGCTTATCTTTAACGAGCCCAGGGGCCTCATTCATTTCAGCCCAGAAGCACAATGAAGCTCTGGGGAGGAATTTTTGGCACACTCTCCTGTGTCTTTTCTTTGAGTAGACTCTAGCCAGCGGAATGCAGCACCAACTCTGCCTACTTGGCAAGAAATTAGTCGGCACTGTCTACAAATCTTTCCCCCACAATAAAAATAGCAAAAAGATTGCCCTTCCCATGAGCAGAGAAATGTGTCAGAAACGAAAGCTGTTAACTCCAGCACAGCTATGAAGTTACCTTCCTCTTGTTTCCCTCTCCTACCCAGCAACTCCATCTGCGCTCCTTTCTAACATTTCAAGCATCTGAGGAGCAGATCCTGCAACTGATATGGTGAGTAATTCTGTGAATGTGCATGGGATGCTTTGATGGCAGAGCTGCAGGACTTGGTCTCCTGATTTGCTGATACTGAAAATTTTTGGAAGTCTTGTGAAGCAGCTGCTCAGATTACATCAGAGAAAAGCTACCTGTAGAAATACCGCAGCATAATGATTGAACTGGGGACACAATAATCAAAGGAAGGAAACTATTACAAAGCCCTGGAGATCACTTGGTGTTTGCCCAGCTTTTGAAAACAACTCTGAGTTTGAAGTACTTGAGCACACAGAAGGCTGAGACAGCCTGCAGCAACATCTGGGGAAACCCCAGCAAGGAGCAGAAAGACAGGGCTCCTCAGCAGCTCAGCCTGCTGCTGCACACAGAGCTCAGTGCTGTGTTCAGAGTGCAGTATGGTGACAGAGGAGCAAACAGATGCTCTCCTGCCCGCCCTCACCTCCACAACTGACTTCAGATCTCATCCAACTCTTCTGTCTGCTAGCAGAATGCTTCAGCAAAGTTTTCCTGTTCTCGAGTATGAATTGCTCTTTGTCACAAACCTCCCACTGAGTCAGAACAAGTGTTCTGAAAACCTCTGGCAGGGTCATTTGAAAATCCTTCCTGCAAATATCCACATCCTAACTGACCAGTGCCCTGAGCATGGAGATCCTGGCTCAATAACAGCAGAGAGCGCATCATCAGTGCTTGCACGGCTTGCGGGATAACACAAGTAATGAGAACAGCCTTCTAGTGGGTCAAGAGCCTTAGCTTGTGCAAATTCAACTTCTCAGTCAGTCACAAATGCTTTTTAAAAGCTCTGTGTGCACACAGGCACTCATGCATGTGCGCTGCCTTACCATACCCATACACATACCCTTACCACACACAGCCAGCACCCAGTATCCAGAGCAGGGATGGAGACAAACAGCAGCTCCCTACCTTCAGGAAGTCACCTCCTTGGCAGTCGATATTCACAAAGTCATATTCAATGGTGAGGAGCTCCTCAGGTTCACCGATGAAGAATGTGGCGCAGTGCAACTGGGGCTGATCGGCAGTAAAGGTGAACTGCCCCTCAATGCTCAGCATGTCAATGCAGCCTGCAGAGACAGGGCCGGGCTCTGCTCTGCCTGCAGGCAGCACACAGCCAGTGCCTGCTGTCAGGCACGGGGACAGCAGGGATAGATCCAGCAGCGGGGAGGAGGGGGTCACGGGTGAACCCAAAAGCTGCTGAGCTCCAGGGGATGCTCACTGGTGTGACACGTCAACGCATCAGGGTGCAAAATTACTGCTGTGCATGCACACAGGTGTGCAGACCCTGAGTTCCCTCAGATTCCTCACTCATCACAGCTTCTCCACCCACCCCATCTGCTGAAGCTGATTTCTGCCTGGGGCTGTGAGTGTAATACCCTCCCACTGATGAGACCGCAGCCCCGGCCCTAGCCCTGCTCAGAGATCCCTGCCTCAGCTTTCCGAAATTATAACACTCTACCCTTCTTCCCTCGGCCCCATCGCTCCCGAAGAGCCGCGAGCTCCCTCTGCACCTTCCCACCATCAGAGATAACTCACGCAGAGACCGCCGGTAGATGTGTCCTGCAGACAGCTCCCGCTTCAGGTCTTCGCTGAGGAGCAGGAAGGGCTCATCTTCGCCAGCATCCCTCACCTGCGGGGAGACGGTGGGAAGAAGATGGGACAACACAAAATGCAGCCCCCCCCCCCCGCAGCTCTCCAGAGCAGATGTGGGCAGATTGTATCCCTGCTCCAGAAGGGGTACAGCTGCTAACAGCTGCTAACAGTTGGGAGCTGCTGCATTGAGGAGTAACCCGGCCTCTGAGAGGTGAGCCCCACACACGGAGACTGGGTTCCTTAGCCAAAAGCACAAGGTCGAGAAAAGGACAGGTAAATGAATGAAAATGCAGGGGTGTGTGATAATGTCAGTCTTTTGTCCAGGGGCAGTGGGAATAGGAACAGAGGAAAGCAAAGCACGAGGCTGTGGATAAAGTTAGCAGAGAGTGGAGAAGTGCAGAGAGGTGTGCTCTCCGTGTTGCTCACCTCGAGGTAGCGGGTGTCCCCTTTGGAGGCTGCCAGCAGGATGAGGACGAGGTGGCACTGCAGCTGGAAGGCAGACGGCATAGCGGCAACCCCTCCCTGCGCGCTGAGCACCTGCTGCTCGGAGCCGGCAGTGAGGAGCCGCCGGGGCATCTTCAGAGACTCTTTTTATAGAGCAGTTGGGAGGGGAGGCACTTGGTCCCAGTACTGATAGGTTAAACCATGGTAACTGAATTCCTCTCTCAGTGACACAGTACGTGGGCATGACGAGGGTCCAAATCAGAGCCGCGAATACCCCACCCGCTTCGCTCCCCGCGCTGTCAGTGCCAGTACTACGGCTCTGTCTGGCGGAGCTGCAGAGCTCTCGGGGGGAGAGCCCGTCCCCGCTCGGCACGGAGATTTCCAGGCACTAAGCGCAAAGGGACAGGAGAGGAGCATCCCTCCCTCCCATCTCCCGCTGCTGGCTCCGGGGGCACTTCGGACCCGGGGCTCCTCCTGCTGCCCCAGCGAAGTCTTCCTGCTCCCGCACAACGGGTCTGCTGGAAGGACACGGGAAAACCGAGCAGCCTCCCCCTCAGACACAGCTTTCACTGGAATTAGGAAACCTAGGAGCTCCGGAGAGGGGATTTCCCACTGAACGGCCGATACAGTTGTTTCTCATTCCTGATCTAAAGGGAAACCAAGGAAATACCTTCAAAAAATGAAGCTGGGGTGAAGATCTATACTCTGCAGAGTACTGAAAATTGTGAATTCAGCAGAGGTTTGCTTTATGGCATGTTCTTTTTACTACTGACCTCAGGTGATCCATCCATGCCTTGTGTACAATAACCAAACTCAGTATCATGCTAGCATCTCCTGCACTAAGCAGGAGAACACTTTTTGTTAAAAGCTCACTTTGGTTCAGGAAAAAAAAAAAAAAAAAAAAAAAAAAAAAAAAAAAAAAAAAAAGAAAGAAAGAAAGAAAAAAAAAAAAGGTACAAACATCCAAAGCTTTAGCTTTGCTGCTTCTGCTTTCACTTATAAGGCTTGTAAGCAGAAACGTTTGCCAGCTGATTCACACCACTGGCTGATCAAATACTAATAATAAAATTTTATTTGTCTGTATACCTATCGCTTTGATCTCACTCTGCTATAATTCTTACATTTGTAGTTCACTATAAACCATAATATTCCTCAGAAACCCTTCTGTACAGCATAAAGCATGCTGAGGAAACAGAAAATGTTATTGAACATTGGCACTATGACGCACAGAGATTGTTAAAATTGCTTAGGGCTCAGAATAGTCAATGGCAGAATGAATTGAGGCTGAATTAATTCATCTCCATGTCCTTGCCTTGAATGGTTTAAGTCCTGTGGTTTGGGATAAGCACTGTCAGAAGCACCAGTGGAGTTCAGAACCTAAAATCCATTGGAGCTACTGGGGAATTGAGGCTTTGCTGGAAAGCCACAGGGTGTAGCCCCAGCCACCAGAGGATGCTTGAGATCGCACCGGTGCAGGACATGGCCTGGGGAACAGGACAAGGAGGAGCTTGTACGACAGCTCAGCCTCCTGCCCTTCTCTGTACATTTGCTTCCTGAAGAGGCGAAGCAAGCAAGCCAGGAGCGCAGCACAGTGGGCAGCCTGCTGCTTGCTTGTGGGAGCAACATTAAAAGTGTGACCAGAGCACTTAGATTTTGGTGTCCGGAGCTCTATTTCGGCCCTGTAAGAACCCAGATCACTCACCTTGTGGTACTTGGCACCTTCCAGCCCCCATCTGTCCAGGCTGACCCTGCTGACCTCCAGCCCAGATCTCAGCTGCTGAACTGAAGGTCTCCACTGAGGAGGGAGAGTGCTTGCTTGTGTTAGAGTTTCACCTGTTACTGAAGGCTTGGGTGAATTCAACTGTGAAAAAGAGGGAAGAATAGGTGACACTGCAGCTCAGCCTGTCTGATAATCCACCTATGAGCTCATTTGCTCAGACAAACCATACCAAAAGCCACGCATAGCTGAGGTCTGGGTCAGCACTACCTGCAGGGATGCCCTGGAAAGCAGACAACCCTGGGCTGTGAGCTGCTGGCAAGTGAGGTGCAGGGACTATAATTCCCCAGCTAACAGGGAGCTGAGAGAGGTGAGGAGTCTCCTGCACAACTGCTGCCAGCTGGGACCCATGGCAGCTCTGTGGTTCCTGTGCATCTCCTGGCCCTCCCCAACCCCCTCCCCTCAGAGTCTGCCCTCCCCCATGCAGACTCTTGTCTCAGCTCTCCCTGTGGTGAAGGATAAGCTTGAGCTCTCCAGGAAATGTGACTACACTTCACAAAGCAAGGAAAAATCAACAGTTTAAACAGGGTTTAAAATGTCCGTTATAGCATTTTGGAAGGGAAAATCAATTTAAGTGGGATACAAACCTCGGGCAATTGAGGGGGTTTCAATTTTCTTTCCTTGTGTAGAGTCACATTAACATTTCACAGGACAATTTCGTGTTGTTAACATCAAATAAGACAATACAACAGGACACATTCCTGGTCTGGCCCTGCTATTGGCAGCTGTCTCACTGTGGCACCACCACATCAGCCAGACCCATGGCTGTGACTCAGTGTTGGGACTCTGTGTAGGACATCACCTGCCCTGTGCTGTGGTGCCTCAGAATCGCTCTGGTGTCTGAAGAAGGGTTGTGGGAGTGCTTAGGGGTCCCCCAACCCCTGCCATGTGTCATGCTAGGAGCCTGTGGGTGTCTTGTCAGCTGCAGCTTCAGACGAGAGATCCTGCTGTGGTGAGAGATGCAGAAAATACTGCTGAATAAAATGTAGTTTAAACACTGTTCACCCTCCCCCATGGAGATGAAGTGATGCTCTGTGCTGTGATCAGCACAGAGGTGCAGGTGATCAATGTGTTTTGCTCTCCTCACCACTGTACAGTGAGGCCATGGATAATGCTATTGGCACTGAGCTATCCCGTGAGTGGCACTAAAGCTGTAGATACTCCTTGGGGCTGCCTCCCCTGTGCAAAGGGTGATGGGGTGTTGTGAACCACACAGCTTTGGCTCTCCAGAAGTGTCCCTTGAGCCCTCACCTCCTCAAATAGCTCCCTTCTGAATCTCCGTGAAAAGTCCTTTTATTTATACACAGACTTCTTCGCAAAGACATCGTAGGGAGCATCCCAGTGGCAGACCATTGCATGTCCCATGGGCTGTTCTGTGTCTGTACCAGGCAGTTCCTTGGCCCAGGAAGAGCAGCAGGAAGGTGCTTCACCACCAATTTCAGTAAAAGACAATTTCTGCCTCAGGCACTCCATCCTCAGATGTTGGTGCTGTTAATCTCCAGCACTCAGCCTGGCTGGAGAGACACATGCAGGGGGATGCACAGTGCAGGACCTCTGGTTAGGCCTCAGCCTAACCTATGTGCCTTCTGTGCCAGCTGCTAGCCACTGTGCTATTACATACATTTCCCTTACATTCATCCCTGTCTTAATTCAGAATTCATTAACAGTGTAGCTTTCTCTTTCATTCATGGTGTCTGGGAGCTGTAGCACTATCAAGCCCTTGCTGCTTCTCATATGGCAGCAATCCCAAATGAAGGACTGTGTCTTTGTGGGATGGCAGAAAGCTACATGTCATTTACATTTGATTATACAGGTATGGCATTCAGCTGGCTACAATTCCTTCACCCTATTACTCCTGGTAAGTGGGATTAGCTAGCCTGGATAAAGGAAGCAAAGAGATCTACTGGCCCTGAAATGTCACAAATGCTGCTACCACGGCTAAATTTTCAGTTTTGTCCTTGCTAAATTTTATGAATTGCAGCTTTGAAAAAAATACTATGCAAAAAGAAGCAAAGGTAAGTTGTATGACAAATTACAGGTGCAGAGATCACTAGGAAACCATGCTGTTAATATAGACTTACAAAAACTTTGCTTCAAAACCTGAGAGACTGTGGAACAAGAGTGGAATGGAATGAAATAGAATGGAATACAAGAGAACAGCACAGGACAAAGTTCAGTTGGAAGAGATCATCTACTCTAACAGCCTGAGGGAGCTCCTGCTTCTGGTCCATTTCCCTCATTCCATAAGTCACCATAAGTGACACTGAGATCACTCAGTACTCACAAACCATTACCAAATACTTCGCAATACTGTGCTAGCTAAGGAAACTTTCATATTTCTGGGTCTCCACGGCCCTAGGCTCCTCAGTATGTTACTACCTCCACCCTGCCGGTGCTGGGGAGGAGGAGGAGGAAAAGGAGGAGAAAGAAGGAGACTTTGCAACCACATCCCATCACTAATCACCAGGCCCCTCTTTACTTATAGTTTATGACACATTGTGTGTTATCAAGGCAGGTGAGGGTCAGTTAATTGTCAGGACCTGGAGCCAGATGACTCTGTGCATCCAGCACATGTACACACCACCTCACCCCACTGCAGTGGATCCCAGTCAGGGGAAGCCATCATGCATACCCAAAAAACAATCAGTGTAGTCTCAACATCTCAAGTCTCCCTGTTGTTTGGGTGACCAAACTATGACTACCAGGCCTCTTGGGACTGTCACAGTGGCTGTGGTCATGATTACATTTGGGGACTGCTCGTGGCATATAAGATAGAAGTTTGATCATTGCCACAGTGAATATCAATCGACCAGGACCATTCTATAGAACAAAACAGCATAATTCTGGAAACACTGTTAAAGCAGTGAGGCTGTGGATCTACACTGGAAAAGTGACTAAAGTAATTAATTTGCCCCTATCGATTTTCTGATGTGATTATCCTACACAAACCCACCCATAGTTTCAATGACAACTGAAGGAAAACATTCCCAGTACCAAAAGTACCCAGTCCAAGATGATGTGTTGTGCTTTATTCCTTTAGTCCACCTTTTGTTTGGGGTCAGCAGGTCTCCCACAACACGTGATCCAGGCTGAACCTAGCGCTCATCAACTCTCAGAAGGCAGTGATCTGTCTGTCACTGACCCCTGTCCCTATCTGTGGCCCCAGCCCTGTATGCCCATAGAGCAAAATCCACCCGCTCTTCTGAGCTTTGCCGCACATCTCTCTGTGATGACACTTCTATCAGTTGTGTGTGTATCTATAAAATGGCTTTAAGTAGAGCTGAACTTTCTGTCAGGTGAAGTAAGCGTAGCTTGTTAACTCTGGGCAGTTTGACACAAGAGATGTGTGATTTGTCATGTTGAGTGGCTTAGAGACACGACAAATGCAAGTGATTGATGAACTGAAAGACTATCAGCATTGTGCAGGCTTGATGATAAGTGTTGCATTAACACTATTTATGGCACTGAATAAAAGCAAGAACTGTGAAGCGCGCAGTTTAGCAGGTTACAAATAATCAAGCAAATATTATATTCAGACACTGAGATTGCCCTGAGGGTTATGATCACTATCAGCTCTGCCAGT